CCTGCTAATGTGCCTAGAAAAGCAGCTGAAGATGGTCAAGATGGGAAACCAGGATGGAGTTCCAGGCTACTGGCCTCAGCCTGGACTAGCCCTGGTCATTGTGGCCACTTGGGGAGTGAATCTGCAGATGGCAGATCTAATCAATCTGTCTCTGTCTCTGTCCTGTCTCTCCCCGCCCCACACTCCTCATCCCCTCCCTAATCCCGCTCTTCCTCTGTCACTTGGCCTTTCAAATTAAAAAAAATAATAATAAATAAAAATAAAAACACATCTTATTAGTCTAAGATGAGCCAGATCACTGTTAAAAGTTTCATTTGTCTGGGCCAGCATTGTGGCATAGCGGGCAACAGAGCCAGCCTGTGATGCCGGCACCGATTCAAGTTCTAGCTGCTCCACTTCAGTCCGGCTCCCTGCTCACAGCCTGGGAAAAGCAATGGAAGATGGCTCAGGTACTTGGGCCCCTGCCATCCTAGTGGGAGACCTGGATGAAGCTACTGGCTCCTGGCTACAGTCTGGCGCATCACTGGCCATTGGGGCCATCTGGGGAGTGAAGCAGGGTTGAAGATCTGTCTCTTACTCTCTCTCTGTACCTCTGACTTTTGCATAAATAAGTAAATTTTTTAAAAGTTTCACCTGTTTTTCAAAGGAAGAAAAGAAAATAAAGACACCTTATTCCTTCAGTTGCTTCATAAAGCCATTCTTGTTTTTACCACCTCAAATTTTGTTAAAAGGTGGGAAAAATTCTCATTTTCTTTCCTTTATGAAAGTTCCTTGCTCTTTTATACTGGATCTCCTGAACAGAAAATGGCACTGACAGAAAACCTAAACAGCTTTTCAAAAAAGACAAAAAGGCTACATATAGATACAGGTTAAGCATTCCTAATCTGAAATTTGCAATATTCCAAAACCCAAAACTTTTTGAGCACTTGACATGAAGCCATGAGTGGCAAACTATCCAACCTCATGTGCCAGGTCTTGGTAAAAACATTAGAACACTAAAAATACTGTATAAAATTACCTTTAGTCTATGTGTATAAGGTATATGAATCACAAATGAAGGTGATACTTAAAATTGGATCTTATGGGGCCAGTGCTGTGGCACAAAGGGTAAAGCTGCTGCCTGCAGTGCCAGTATACGAGTGCTGGTTCAAGTCCCAGCTACTGAACTTCCTTCCAATCCAGTTCCCTGATAATGTGCCTGCGAAAGCAGTGAAGATGGCCCAAGTGCTTGGGCCCCTGAACCCACATGTGAGACTCAGAAGAAGCTCATGGCTCCTGATTTTGGACCAGCCCAGCTCCAGCTGTTGTGACCATTTGGGGAGTGAGCCAGCAGATGGAAGATCTCTCTCTCTAACTCTGCCTTTCAAGTAAATAAATCTTTAAATAAAATAATTGGATCTTACCCCCAAGGTATCTCATTAAGTATATGAAAATACTCCCAAACACAAGAAAAACTGAAATTCAAAATACTTCTAGTTCCAAGCATTTCTGGTAAGGGATACTCAATCAATATCTACTATAGAACAAAGCGAGGTCACAGTAGGTGAAGCAGAGCTGGTGCCCAAGTTGACAGACTAGAGGTTAGAGAAAAGATTTTAATGAATATGCATCACTTGAGATAAAGGCCACTAGAAGCAAAGGGCAGACAAAGGCAGTAACTTGAAAGACATTGCAACTAGTGCATTAGAATGAAGCACCCAAGGAAACAAATAACCAGATTGATTCATTCAGCTGACATTTAGTCTGAATTTTCTACAAACACGTCTCTATACAACATGGAATTGAATTATGAGAGAGTAAGAAATGTATTTTTTCAGAAATGTGGTCTATATAAGGGCAAATCCACACAAGGGTAAATCTACTTGATTCAACTGTATATTATTCATTTGTCATAATGTGCTATCAATATCAAAAGGAGGGAAACAGCCCTCTTCACTGATGCTAAAAGAAAGAAGTTATTATTAGAGACAAAGAATTTCATTATAATCAGTATGAAGTGTGAATTTCATGCATGAATCTAAGATTGTAATGAAATCATTCCATAATTTTGTAATAGAAGGGAATGATTTGCCCCATTCTTCCTCTAGCTGAACGGCTTTTTCATTTTTTTTGAGAATGAGATTTAAAATACACAAAACATGGTGAAATGTCCCTCAAAAGTTAAATTTCAAATGCCTTATATTAATTATCAGGAAAGTGTTTCAAATATAAGTATTCCCCTCTCCATTTTATATATCAAAATAATAAAAATAATAATAATCCTACAGAAGAACTAAAATCACAATCAGATCATTCAAATTATCTAATTTATGAAACTCTGTAAGGAAGCCTAATATCACTTTTGGCATTTCAACCAATAATATCAGCATTTTTTCCATTCTTAAACTTCATCATTCAATGCTCCATTACATGACAAAGGCAAATACAAATAGTATATTTTCATGGAAATTCAAATAATCTTTGAAAAAGGAAAATAAAATACATGAAAGTATATACTTCATATGGCTTTTTGACCTGCATTCCTTACAAGTACAGCGTAAAATATTTAATCAATATAGTATTCATAGTTAATCCTCTGAATTTAAAAATAAACCTTGATTCATATAGCTACAACACAGAACAAAATTAAGACATTTCAGTACTTATATAAATTATTAAAGGATTCATTTATTGAAAAGGCAAAATGACATGGAGAGGGAAGGCAGAAAGAGTAAGTGGGGAATGAAGAGGGAGAGAAAGGAAAAGAGGAAGGGAAAGAGTGAGGGGAAGGAGAGAGAGGGAGAGAGAAATCGATCTCCTGTCAGTTGATTCACTCCCCCGAAATGCCCGCAACAGCCAAGGCTGGGCCAGACCAAAGCCAGGAGCCTGGAACTCCATCCAGGTCTCTCACTGGGGGTGGCAGGGACCCAAAGACTTGAGCCATCGGGCATTACCTTCCCAGGTTCACTAGCAGGAAGCTGGATCAGAAGCATGGAGTAGCTGGTACTTGAACCAGCACTTGACACAGGATGCTGGCATTGCAAGCAGCAGTTTAACCTACTGTATGTACCATAATGCCTGTCCCAGTACTTGTGTGAATTGAGTAAGACTTTCTTCCCAAACTTAATGAGCAAAATGCATGTTTTAAGAGGAGAGCAGTGCTTTAGGATTAATGAATTTTATTTAGATACAATAACATCCCTTATTAATGTATTTAATTAGATATAGCTAATCTTAACTATTGCAATGCTTTCTTTCTTATAATCATATAAAATGTCAATGCTATTTTATCTGTTCTAACAAAAGCTAAACAAGGGGCACCCTGCCTATGGCTTATTCTATCAGTGAATAAAGCCATCCTTTAAAAAAAAAGTCTGTAGGAAGGACTACAGTTTTAATTTAAAATAGCTCCTATAACAAATTTAAGAGTTTTATAGAAAGTAAAGATAAAATACAAAAACAAAACAAAAAATTTTCCCCATAAGAGTTCATAACTCTGATGGCACCACACTGAAAGTTCAATGTGATATCTGAAGAACTACTTTTCTTTCAAGACTAAGTAAAGGGGCCAGGGCTGTGGCATATTAGATTAAGCCGCCACTTGAAGTACCAGCATCCCATATTGGGGTGCTGGTTCAACTCTCAGCTGCTCCACTTCCAATCAGCTCTTCCAGCTCTCTGCTATGGCCTGGGAAAGAGGTGGAAGATGGCCCAAGTCCTTGGGCCCCTGCATCCACATGGGAGACCCAAAAGAAGCTCCTGTCTCCTGGCTTAGGATCAGCGCAGCTCCAGCCACTGCAGCTATTTGGGCAGTGAACCAGCAGATGGAAGACCTCTCTATCTGCCTCTCCTTCTCTCTGTGTGTAACTCTGACTTCCAAATAAATAAGTAAATGTTAAAACAAAGAGAGAGAGAGAGAGAGACACACACACACACTAAGTAAAATCACATTTTCAAAATCAGACTAAAAAGCCCAGAACACAGGGGTGGGTATTTGGCACAGAGGGTAAATCACACTTGGGATACTCACATGCTATATTGGAGTAGAGTTTGAATCTCAGCTCCTCTGCTTCCACCCAGCTTCCTACTGATGTGCACCCTGGGATGCTACAAATGATGGCTCAAGTACTTGGGTCCCTTCCACTCATATGAAAGACCTAGACCTAGTTGTGGTTTCCCGGCTTCACCCTGCCCCAACCCTGGTTGTGCTAGAAACACAATAGCACTTGGGGACTGAACCAGTAGACAAGAAAATCTGTCTCGGGGCCGCCACTGTGGTGTAAGGGGTAAAGCTGCTGCCTGCAGCACCGGCATTCCATATGGGCACCAGTTCGAGTCCTGGCTACTCCACTTCTGATCCAGCTCTCTGCTGTGACCTGGGAAAGCAGTAGAAGATGGACCAAGTGCTTGGGCCCCTGTACCTCACTCCATGAGACATGGAGGAAGCCTTGGCTCTTGATTTCGGATGGGTGGAGTTCCAGCCCTTGTGGCTATCTGGGTAGTGAATCAGAGGATGGAAGACCTCCCTCTTTCTCTCTCTCTCTCTGCCCCTGCCTCTCCATAATTCTGCCTTTCAGATAAATAAATAAATCTTTTAAAACAAACAAACAAAAAAACAGAACAACAACAACAACTAAGGCCAGCATTGTAGAATAGCAAGTTAAGCCGCTGCTTGTGACTCTGCATCCTGTTTTCGAAGGCTGATTCAAGTCCCAGCTGCTCTGCTTTCAATCCAGGTCTCTGTTAATGTTCCTGGGAATGCAGAGGAAGACGGCCCAAGTACTTGAGCCCCTACCATCCACATGGAAGACCAGGATAGAGTTAACATTTAGGGAATGCACCAGCATATGTTTTTTCTTTCTTTTTTTTTTTTAGAAAGATTTTATTTAATAAATACAAATTTCATAGGCACAGCTTCACCAGCATATGTAAGACCTCTCTCTGCCTCTTCCTCTGTGTCACTCTCACAAATCAACAAACTAAATTAAATAAATCTTTAAAAAAAAAAAAAAACCACTCACCTTTCAAACCTAGAGTTTGTAGCTGGAAGAGCCGACCAAGTTCATAAGGCAAAACCCGTAACAGATTGTTATTTAAAAGCAATTCCCTGTTTAAAAAAAAAAATTGCATCATTTTAATATACCAAACTTCGTTAACACTCACATTTGTAAGCTTTAACCTTCCCTCTAATATACCATGAGTGATGTTTATATCCAAGGCATTCCTGTATACTCATCCAAAAATTTTGTACAATATTAAAATACTACAAAATGTATGACTGTCACAACTGTTAACAGGGTTTCTATGATTTACTTATTCTCAAACACAGATTAAAGTTAGAAGTGTAGGAACTGCATGTCAATCTCAAGCTAAATCCACATTTTTTTCTCTTCACCCAAAATGTCTATCATATGCAAATCAGAGAGATAAATATCCTGAAGCATCCAAAGACAACAGATAAACTGGGACCTAGTCTAATTCATATAAAAAAGCCAATATTTTTAATATTGCATCATTTCTTATAACTGATTACAACATCATGACAAAATCATATTAAAACAAAAGAGACAAAGAAATTAGCTAAGGAAGTAAAAGATAATTAAATAGGAAATGTACAAACACAAAAAAAGCACAATGATAAACAATCAGAAACATATAGCATAAATTAAGCACAAGAGGATACAAATAAGCATAGGATAGCATAGATAAGGTCTAAGTCTATGACTAAAAATTTTAGCAGAGTATAGAAAAAGTAAATAGTACTTTCATTAGTAGATAACCAAAAAGCAGAAACTCAGAACAAAGCAAACTCATAATGCAATGGTGATGGATAAGATCCTAAAACAATATTCATGTTTAATTTTAAACATATGATTGCAATTTTTAAATATTACTAAGTACATAAACAAAGTATATAAACAAGGTAGAAAGTAGTTCTTGTTTTCACTGGGAACACTGATGCAAAGTCTTAGGATTTCAGTTAAATTTTCTCCTTTGAAGAAATCCTTAGAGAATACTGAAGAACTAGAAACAAAACCATTTTATCAGGTTTTAAGGTTTCCTTAAGGAGTTTTATAAAATACAAGTATACCTCATTTTACAGAATACAGATAAGTTCCTCAAAGTTTGACTAACAAATAAAATTTCATTATTTATGATTTCTCTTACCTGAGACTAAATGTTTTAGCCTCTCCCAACCTGAGGTCTGTCACAAGAAACAGGCAACACAAGAACATTCTTAGCCAGTAAACTCCAAGTTTCAAGTAAGGAAGAGTTTAATGGAGGGTGACTCAAGCACTATGCTTAGACGGTTTCTATCATTTCATCTTCACATGCATATGTAAATCCTACTGTAAGATGGCTAACAGCCCATTAGTTTCATATTCAATAAATTTAGGATTAGATATGGTAACTTACGTATGTAGTATTTCCTTACCTGAGAGACACCATGTTTCCTAGTTCTGCTGGTAAACTTCTGAGTTTATTGGATGACAGATCCAGGTAAACCAGATTATGAAGCTTGGCAATATCGGGTGGAATGCGACTAAGGTAATTGTCATTTAGGTGCAGCGCTGTCAAGTGTGTCAATGACCAAAGTGATGTACTTAAGCTCCGCACTCTACCTAAAAGGTAAAATATTAAAGCATAAAACTAGGTCCAAGATGAAGACCGAGCTGCAAGGACTAAAAAGTGATAGAAGATGCTGCAAATTCATATAGACAGTGTATCTTTGACACTTTAATTTTGTATTTAATGCCATTTGATTGATTCCAAAAGACATCTGGTCCTCCTTTAATCTCAAGCCACTTGTGCCTGATAACCACTCTTTCTCACAAACCTTCTATGCATTAAATGAGATATGGCAAAATACAAAGACCATTGCAGTCTGGTTCATTGAGAAAGAATCTGAATTGAGGTCTAGTAGTGGAATAATCTGAAATTTTTTTTTAGCATCACAATCCTAACAAGTGTTTCTAATATATTCCATGAAAATTAGTAGGGCTGGGGCTGGCGCTGTGTCACAGCAGATTAATGACCAGGCCTGAAATGCCAGCATCCCATATGGGCACCGGTTCTAGTCCTGGCTGCTTCTCTTCCAATCCAGCTCTCTGCTATGGCCTGGGGTAGCAGTGGAAGATGGCCCAAGTCCTTGGGCCCCTGCACCCGTGTGGGAGGCCTAGAAGAAGCTCCTGGCTCCTGGCTTCGGATCAGCGCAGCTCCAGCCGTTGAGGCCATCTGGGAGTGAACCAGCGGATGGAAGACCTACCCCTCTCTCTGTCTCTACCTCTCTAACTCTCATTCAAATAAATAAAATAAATCTTTAAAAAAAAAAAAAAAAAAAGAAGTCCTTTCAAAAAAAAAAAAATTAGTAGGGCTAAGTTTATCTATATTCAGGGCCTGATTCACCCTACAAACCTTAAATAGACAAGAATAAGTTACTGTGATTTAGAACCAAACTTAGAGAAGCCAACTTCCCCAGCTTTCTGATGTCATAATTATAGACTAATTTACTCTGGATTAAGTTTTTTCACAAAGTGCAATATACTCAAGAAGATACCAAATGTTAAGCTCAATCAATCAGTTGGCATCTGAAGGCTATAGTAAAACATGTACTGGAAAAAGTCAAAAGACTTGGTTCAGAGTCCTGATTTTTATCTTTATTAGCTGTGTAACTCTAGGAAAGTCATCTGGTGTCAAGTTCTATAAAGAGATACCTGTCTTAGCTATAATAATCACTAATTATACAGCATAATTTACATTAAGATATTTTGTAAGCTTTACAACAGTATTTTAATTTTTTATCATTTTCCAAACAGATTTTGATAGCCAGCACAGGAGGAAAGGACAGCACAAAATCTAAAAGGCGAAATGTGACATTTTATACAGATATTAGGCAGTAAACTCAAACTTTTATCTTCTGTTCAGGATTCTTCCTACAGCATGTTCCTTCTTGCTGTATATAATTACTTAAAATGTTTTTTAATAGGAAACAAAGTTTTCATGAGAAAAGGTTATGGGTAAAAGAAAAACCTATTTCAATTTTAGCCACAGTTTAACTGAGTGATTCTTAATCAGCAGCAATTTTGACATCGTAAACTTTTTTTTTTTTTTTTTTTTTTTTGACAGGCAGAGTGGACAGTGAGAGCAGTAGAGACAGAGAGAAAGGTCTTCCTTTTACCGTTGGTTCACCCTCCATTGGCCGCTGTGGCCGGCGCACCGCACTGATCCAAAGCCAGGAGCCAGGTGCTTCTCCTGGTCTCCCATGTGGGTGCAGGGCCCAAGGACCTGGGCCATGCTCCACTGCACTCCTGGGCTACAGCAGAGAGCTGGACAGGAAGAGGGGCAACCAGGACAGAATCCAGTGCCCCAACCAGGACTAGAACCCTGTGTGCCGGCGCCACAGGCGGAGGATTAGCCTATTGAGCCGCAGAGCCGGCCCACCATAAACTTTTTGACAACTCCTCATATAATCTACATGGTAGCAATTCATAAAAAGTCTTTGTACGTAATAAACTTTTAATTTTGTAATAATTTTAGATTACAGAAGTTAGCGAGCTAATACAGAGTTCCTGCCTACCCATCATTCAGTTTCCCTAATATTAGAATCATATCACCATGATATATTTGTCAAAATAACAATAATAAGGTTCATTACTGTTAATTAAACTCTACTTCATTTGAGTTTCACAAGTTTTTGCCCATTTTTGTTCCAGAATTCAACTCAGGCTATACCACTCTGCACTTAGTCATCATGTCTCCTTAGCCTCCTCTGGTCTGTAATGTGTTCTCAGTTTTTCCTATTTTTCATGAACTTGATAATTCCAAGGATTACTTGTTAAGTATTTTGTAGAATGTCCTTCAGTTTGAGTTTGTCTGATATTTTTCCTCATTATTAAACTGGTTATAAGTTTTTAGGAATCAAATTCTATTCTGACAAATCCTAATATCCTATAGAGTTGTCACATATTTGTTAGAAGTAGCCATCAGAAAAAATAGCTTCTAGGTTGCCTTCTTGTTCAACATTGGGATGATAGGAAGATAGCAAAGATTTCAATTTACAAAAATAAAAATAATCACCTTGAAGAGACTGCATCTAAGAATCTAATTTTACTTAGAAACTGAAAGCACAATATCCTCAATTTGATCTGCCAGTTCTTTTTTTTTTTTTTTTTTTTTTTTAATTTTTTTTTTTTATTTTTTGACAGGCAGAGTGGACAGTGAGAGAGAGAGACAGAGAGAAAGGTCTTCCTTTTTGCCGTTGGTTCACCCTCCAATGGCCGCCGCGGACGGCGCGCTGCGGCCGGCGCACCGCGCTGATCCGATGGCAGGAGCCAGGAGCCAGGTGCTTTTCCTGGTCTCCCATGGGGTGCAGGGCCCAAGCACCTGGGCCATCCTCCACTGCACTCCCTGGCCACAGCAGAGGGCTGGCCTGGAAGAGGGGCAACCGGGACAGAATCCGGCGCCCCGACCGGGACTAGAACCCGGTGTGCCGGCGCCGCTAGGCGGAGGATTAGCCTAGTGAGCCGCGGCGCCGGCCTGATCTGCCAGTTCTTACAAAGGACAACAACAAAGGTATTTATTTACTAACAGCTAAACACTTATACCACAGCACCCATATTTTTTCATTTAGCCCATCTATTTTTAAATGTATAACAAAGAAATAAATATGGCAATAGTCAATTTTTGTTCATTATTACTATTACATCCCAACTATATGCTTCAGATTCTACTCACCTGAAATTTCTAATTCTGCCCAGTGAGATTTTTTCCCATTGGCTACCTCCTCTGCTGACATGATGGTATAAATTCGGCGAGGATCTGGAGGATCATATTTTTCCTTTGGCATCCCTATTAGTCTGTTAAAACAACAACAGCAACAATTGATTACAGTCTTACAGAAGACATGAAAAGTGAGAGAGTGAGTTTTCTTTTTCTTTCCTGTTACCAAGCTGGTAAGTCACTTTACACTACAATTTTCATGTGAAGAAAAACACATTTATCTGTGTGCTGGGCTCTTACAGAAACTCATTAACAGATGCCTAAGGGAAAAAGCAAGCAAGCTATGAATATTTTGCTGCTTCCTAACCCCTTACTCTTCATTTATCTGCACTGCTTGACCTTTCTCTGACTAGTCTAGAACCAAATAATTCTATCCTTACCTCAGTGACATTCACATGTCCCATGCCTAAAGCAATCAGCATGTAACATTCATTCCCTTTGACACAGATTTCCTCAGAAGTATCTAAAAACACAAGCCCTCTAGATTCATTCTATATTCATGGGACAAGGAAGCTCCTCTCTCCCACTGGTGATAAACAAATAGCCCAGATCATCTTTAGCAGCTACCCGATTATTTTAAGAGCCAGCCATAGAATTTAGAGTCCAAAAAACTGAGAAACAGAGCATGGTTCCTTAGTGAATCACACCTGTAGCACTCCCAAACCCTGGCCTTTGCAGATATACAAGCCAATATATTCCCTTACTGTTTTTAAGCTAGTGTGAGCTGTGTTTTCTGTTAACTTGCAATCAAAAGCATCCTTTTCACATGAAAAACCGTCTCATTTGGATGCATTACATGGCCACCTAATTGACACATGGCCACCTAACTAAAACAAGTATTACACAGTTTTCTTCATGGAAGTACCAAAATTATTACTAAAGAATCATCAATGATGAACTAGGCCTAAAACTCCTCAGATATGTTATTTTATGACAAATTGCTCTAAAAGTAACCTTATTCAAAGAGTCCAACACAAGAATCACTCTTTGGTAGTAATAAAATCTAAGTTATGGGTCATGTGCTTTGGCATAGTGGTTAAAACAGGGCTTAGGACACCCACATCCAATATAAAGTATATAGGTTCAAGTCCCAACTCCACTGCCGATTCCAGCTTCCAGCTAATGCACACCTGGGAGGCAGCAGGGAGTGGCTCAAGTATTTGAGTCCTTGTCATCCACATAGGAGACCTGGACTGAGGTCCTAGCACCTGGCTTTAGTCTGGTTCTGCCCTAGATGTGAGCTTTGGGGAATAACAAGTGGATGGAAGAGCGCGAGCGCATCCCCCGCCCACACTCCGCCTTTCAAGTAAATAAAACTAAATGAAACTTTATTTATAAAAACCAATCAGGGGAGGCCGGCGCCGCGGCTCACTAGGCTAATCCTCCGCCTAGCGGCGCCGGCACACCGGGTTCTAGTCCCGGTCGGGGCGCCGGATTCTGTCCCGGTTGCCCCTCTTCCAGGCCAGCTCTCTGCTATGGCCAGGGAGTGCAGTGGAGGATGGCCCAAGTCCTTCGGCCCTGCACCCCATGGGAGACCAGGAGAAGCACCTAGCTCCTGGCTTCGGATCAGTGAGGTGCACCATCCGCAGTGCACCTGCCGCGGCGGCCATTGGAGAGTGAACCAACGGTAAAAGGAAGACCTTTCTCTCTGTCTGTCTCTCTGTCACTGTCCACTCTGCCTGTCAAAAAAATAAAAAAATAAAAAAATTATGGGGCCAATGCTGGCCCAGCCCTGGTCACTGCAGACATCTGAGGAATGAACCAACCAGCAGATGGAAGATATCTCTGACTCTTCTTTTCTCTTTGTACCTCTTTCAAATACATCTAAAAAGGCAGAGTTGGGGTGAGGGGGACAGAGAGAGATCCTCCATCCACTGGTTCACTCCCACTTGGGTGGCAGAGGCCAAACCACTTGGGCCATCTTCCGCTGCTTCTCTCAGGCAAACAGCAAGGAGTTGAATTGGAAGTGGAACAGTAGTGATACAAAAAGGAGCCCACATGGGACCAGCATCACAGGCACCAGCTTTACCTGCTGTGCCACAACACTGGCCCCTGGTGCTTTTCCTGAGTTTAGAATTTATACCCAAATGAGTTACCATCAGGTATTCTGAAATTTGTTACATAAAGAGAATATATATGTTACTTCAGAAAAAACTCAGAGATAATCTATCGCCTATCAAGAAATCAAAGCTAGGGCCGGCACTGTGGCACAATGGGTTAAGTACTACCTGCGACATTGCCATCCCATGTGAGTCCTTGAATCCTGGCTGCTCTACTTGAGATCCAGCTCCCCGCTACTGCACATGGGAAAGCAGTGGGAGGGTGGCCTAAGTGGGCCCCTGCCACTCATGTGTGAGACCCAGATGGAATTCCAGTCCCCTGATGTAGGCTTGGCCCAGGACCAGTAGTTGCAACCATTTGGGGAGTGAATTAGTACATGGAAGAACTCTGCCCAAACCTACTCCAGACCCATTGTCTCCCTTTCTCTCTGTAACTCTGCCTTTCAAATAAGTCAATCATTTTTTTAAAAATGGAACTCAAAGCCAATTTATAAGAACACAACTGAAATTTCCTATATCATAGCTTCCCTCAATCCTGAAAAGAAATTTCTTTACATTTATTTAAAGAGGAAAAAAGAAAGTTTTCCAGATCTGTTCATCTGTTAATAGTAACTAGTTTCCATATTTAGCTCTTTAATATTATCATACAATCAGGGTGATATTAAGCCATATTTATTTTCTTTAATTTTTTTTTATTTTTTGACAGGCAGAGTGGACAGTGAGAGAGAGAGAGACAGAGAGAAAGGTCTTCCTTTGCCGTTGGTTCACCCTCCAATGGCCTATTGAGCCGCAGTGCCGGCCTGCCATATTTATTTTCCATAAATGTCTTAGAGCTTCAGAGCATAAAGAATACAATTATTTTCCACAGGGGGGAAAATTGTTTCTACTACATTCAACCTACATAAAATATTTCTGAAAATAAAGTTTTAAGATAACATTACAAAGGCCGGCGCCGCGGCTCACTAGGCTAATCCTCCGCCTTGCGGCACCGGCACACTGGGTTCTACTCCCCGTCAGGGCGCCGGATTCTGTCCCGGTTGCCCCTCTTCCAGGCCAGCTCTCTGCTGTGGCCAGGGAGTGCAGTGGAGGATGGCCCAAGTCCTTGGGCCCTGCACCCCATGGGAGACCAGGATAAGTACCTGGCTCCTGCCATCGGATCAGCATGGTGCGCCAGCCGCAGCGCGCCGGCCGCGGCGGCCATTGGAGGGTGAACCAACGGTAAAAGGAAGACCTTTCTCTGTCTGTCTCTCTCTCACTGTCCACTCTGCCTGTCAAAAAAAAAAAAAAAAGATAACATTACAAGATTAAACAAAGCCAAATCAAACATAGACCCAAAGACATGCTACATAATGCATTATCTACAATGAGGATGCATAAAACACAAAGACTATTAAATTTGCAGAACCACAGGTTTAATAAATTTCACAACAGTTTTTAAAAAACACAAGGCACAGGATTAAAGACCAACTTAATAGGATTGCATTAATTACGGCTTCCACTAGAGTTAGTGCTTGATATGTATTTATGGAATAATCGTATGCTTTGAAATCCTAAAATCTGCCACCTACTTCATACTTTTTCCATCCACAGCAAATTTACAGTCAATGCCTTTCTAACAACTAATCTGAAGCAAATAATCCACAAATATTCTAAAAAGTTAGATATATTAATAATTACCATTTTTCTGGTACCAATTAACTTTTAAATTAAAAAAAAATTACTTTTCATTTTATTTGAAAGGCAAAGAAACAGAGAAAGAGAGAGAGACAGATTTCTCCCATCTGCCAGTTCTCTCCTCAAAAGTCCACAACAGTCAGAGCTAAACCAGGGAGGAGCCAAAAACTCAGTCCAGGTATCCCCTATTAGTGGCCAAAACCCAAGTACTTTGAGCCATCACTTATTGCCTGCCAGGCTACATAATAGCAGGAAGTTGAAATGGAGAGTGTAGTTAGACTTAAACTCAAGCACTTCGATATGGGATGCAGGTGTTCAAAGCAGTCTTAACCACTGTGCCAAAGGTCCACCTCTATATTTTCAATTTTTCATGTTTCCATCTTTGTAAATCTTTAGAGTTCTTTAAAAAAAAAAAGCTGCATAAAACATTTACTAATATCTTTAATATGTAGAGACCAAATAATATTAACACCATCATAGTCAGAGTCAGAAATCTCTCTTGGATTTGATGAGGATGTCAATAAAAACACAATTCACTAGGGGCCAGCACTGTGGCACAGTAAGTTAAGCCCCTGCCTTAATCTCCTTTATCCCATGTGAGCACTGACTTGATTCCACTGCTCCACTTCCAATATGGCTCCCTGTTTATGTGCCTGAGAAAGCAGCAGAAAGTGGCCTGAGTACTGAGCCCCTGCCACCTACATGGGAGACCCAGATGGAATTCCAGGCTCCAGCTCAGCCCAGCCCAGCCCCAGGCCACTGCAGCTTTCTGGGGAGTGAACCAAGGGATGGATGATCTGTCTCTCCCTTTCTGTAACTCTGCCTTTCAAGTAAATAAAGAAATCTTTATTTGGGAAAAAAAAAAGTCATTTAGTTTTCTAAATGAAATCTAGATTTGGATAATCTGATGGAATCTACATTGAGTTAATTAATTTAGTAGAATCTACAGTTTTGATGATTCACTACTGCTCCAAACATCAGGTTTTGAACTGTGTTAGTTCCAATTTCTACAATACCTTTTTTTATTTATTATTTGAAATCCAGGAAAAAAAAAAAAAAAAAAAAAAAACAGAAAGAGCGAGTTCCCATCTACTGGTTCACTCCCCAAGTGCCTGCTACAGTCAGGGCCAAAACCAGGAATTCAATCCAAGTCTCCCACATTGGTGCAGGCATCACCACTGCCTACACAATCAGCCAGGAGCTGAACCCAGGCACCCCGACTGACCTTACATCAGTTGCCAAAGGATCTCACTTACACTGGAGATCCTAATTATGTAACAAAATAGATAAAATCTCTTTGTGGCATCTTTCAAAGTTATCAGTCTTTGATCCCATTTCAACAC